GATAGTTTATAATTCGCCAGTAGAGAGAAGTGGTAAGAAAAATAGGATCGAAAAAGCGATAATTTTTTAGATACAATGCCCTGACTGGGGCATTTTGTATGCATAGTTAAGCAGTACTGGTTTTAATTTCACGAGTGAAATAGTTGATAAGAAATAAGTAGGTTTAGATCTTAAATGTAGAAAAAGGCTCTATCAGTTACGTTGCAGTTTATTGAAGGGGTGTTACACCCCCTTCCCCTTGTTGTTATCCATGTAGTAGCGGAATGGCATCAGCATGCGGCTGTTTAATTAGCGAAGACAAATGAGGGCAGTTTGCGGAGGAGACGTGAGAGGCGCCACTCACTATCACGAAGCCCCCGATGACGATGGCTCCGGGCCGCAGGCCGCAGCAGCAGCAGTGGTCCGGCCATCGCCTCCCCATGGCGCGACCTCGCCTCCCTCACGGCTGGCAGCCGCAGGAACCTCCTGCGTCTCCACTCTGAAAAAGGAAACGTTGGCAGCCCTCATTATTGGGCGGCGACCGTGTGACGGTTAGCGTTTCGGACTGTTGTACATAAGTTGGCGGGTTCAAACCTGATCGAAGCCGTGGATTTTTAAGGGCGAAAAAATCCTTCGTACGCCTTCCTTCGGAGGGGAAGTAAAGCCAGCTGTCCCATGTTAGTAGATTTACTTGCATGTAAAAGACCCTCAATCCTAAATGACACCTCTGAGCTAAATTCAAATCGCCTGTTTCTCGCCCACGAAATACCTCCTTTCTCTGCTAGTTGGTGAAAGCTTAGCGAAATTTGAGTGGTCAGACGGAAGAGCAGGCCTAATAGCCTGAGTCTCGCCACTAAAAATAAGGCTTCAATTCAATTATTTACTTGGCTGTCCGGGTGACGCCGCGTCCATGGCGAAGGTGGCGACGTTTCGGTCGCCATTCTGCGGCCTTCCTCAGGGCGTAATATCGGCACTTTCGCCATGGACGTGGCGTCACCCGGACAGCCAAGTAAATACTGACTCCGCGGAAGCCTACGCTCTCACTTGGCAGCCTTCATTGATTGATTGATTGTTAGTGATTCGGGGCGCGACAACTGCTAAGGTCGTTAGTCCTGTAAGTGTAGTGCAAGTTTCCCTCTCGGGAGGTGGCGTTTATCTTCCTCCGCTGCATGGCGAGATCCGGGGCCGACCTATCGCCGGCTAGCGGGGTTTTCACCAACCAGGTATCTCCCACCAGTGGGGCACCGCCCCAGGGTCCACGCTTCCAACCCGTCTCCGGGTATGTGTGGTAGGGTAGTGCATGTATGTGTGTGAATGTAAGGGGTGATGATAGGACAAGGAAGAGGAAGGAAAGAACGCGCGCGGTCCGTGGCCCATTTGTTAGGGTACTTCTCCGGTATTCGCCCTGTATTGATCGGAGAAACGGAAAACTACCGATCAGAGCAGCCGGCTTACTACGTGAAGACAGTCGAATGTTCTCATAGTCCGGCGCGCCTGCTTTAGTTATCTAAGTGGCCGGAATTTTCACCTTTAAATGTATTACTGACCCGCGTTTGGGTTCTTGAACCTTAATTTCAGAGAAATTTTGGCGATCGCCGACTTGTAACACTTTGATGAGAGTGGTGCTGCACGCTGCTGTGGTTGTTTGCTGGACGTAGATTTCGCCAGTTCGTATGATGCCTTCTATTGCGTCCCGCCTGCCAAACTACGGTCTTTTATAGCAATAGATGAACCTTTTACTACTGATAGGAAACTTGTACGGTGCAAAGTGTGTAATAATGTGCTCTCCAAATAATTTTTAATACATTTGTATTATTTTAAAAAGTTGTTTAGGATGTTCTGAAACGAGGGAGGGTGAAACTATTCGTGATATCGGGCTCTACAATACACAACGCCGTTAAACACATGGGTATAATTTGGAATTTATGAATTGCCAAGAAAAGAATTCCTTAAATTTGAACTTAACCTATTTTTCAACCAAAAGGTGTGTTGATCAAGACACGGCTGGTGTGCTTGGCGCGAAATGTCCTCGACCGCCATGGACGAAAGGGACTTCAGCATTTGTCAGGTCGCCAGTTGGAAAACCCTGACTTATGCCATTTCTGTACTGATATCGTTCGTAACGATGATATTTCTCATACTACGCAGGTTAATTCTATTCACAGAACTAGTAGGGTTACAAGACACCAATGTCATACAAGAACAATAAATAAGTAAAAAATATCCAGTATATATTGATTTAACAATTGCAAAACGTGATATTGCAAAATCAAAGACATGGAATCATGGAATTCATGAGAAATAAAATATTGCCCTACATTCAATTTTATTCACGTAATTTTTTCTATAATAAAACTTTAGTATCTTGGCATTATAAAATTCATTTGCAATTTTTTTTAAATAAAGAAATTTTCACTTCAAACTTGAGTAGCAATGTAGTCAACTTATTAAATGAAAATTACTAACATACCATTTCAAACAACAGAAACTTTTAGTCACCAGTGTAATGACAGTGAATGACAATGAATGAAGTATGTCATACATTTGAACAATTATGAAACAAGCTATTATTACAAGTGCAGAATAGGACAGATACCTTTAATGAAACGATTTATAACGATTCCATTAAAATGTATGGCTAAAATTAATATTCGGTTTACGTGAAATCACAAATGTGCACATTGGTATGAACGCGATATACTCGTAGAATGAATGCTATTCGACACTCAAACTCCAAATGTGCAGATTTCCTATGGGGACCCAGCTGCCAATAGACATATGAATAAATTAAAAACGCTAATTTTACCGTAGTTCGTCCGGAATATTTTAACATACTGAGCGCTTAACGACGTCAGTAGAAAATTCAATTCGAATGTTAGAATGTAAAGGTTTATGGAGGTTTCGATAACATGATTAATTATTACAGTTGAAAAATATTTTAATCTATGTGTATTTTACTTAAGAGAATTGTGCATAGGAAGTAATCCAACAAAATCACGACTAATTGTTTTTCTTATAGGCAGAATTCTTGAAGTTCGAAGCATTTATATTCAATATATTTTTAATTTACTGTAAGTTATTTTCTTATAAATAATAATTGTGGTTTAAAGTTAATGTTTTTTGGTTGAATAACAGCTTGTTAAAATTATTTACTTCTATAGAGTGCCATTTCAAACCATAAGTGCGTATGCGAAACTGACACATGTGTATTCAAAGGGAAATCCTGCATGACGGTTCCTCCATTGTACTTCCTCGTGTCAAACAATTCCGATTTCCTAAGATTGTATTGGTAAACATATTTCGCAGATTTAAATACAATTCCAGAGTACTGAGAGGGACCCACAGAACAAGGAATTTACGATATTGAGGTTTGGTAGATAAAATGTAATTTTTTGTTTAATGTTGCAATTCATCGGTTTGATTTAATATACGTATAATAAAATTCAGCTATAAACATCGTATTTGTGTTGCCAATGAAATAATGCAACATAATGCGGTACTTTTTTGTATTTTTTTATTACAAAAACGTTCAGAAGGTAGAGTATCATTTGGTCATTACAGAATCGAGTATCTGAAATTTACTAAAATATTGTAATTTTCAAATTATCATGCTGGAAAAATCGCGAAGTGGAATAAATGAATAAAAAATAGAACAAATTTAAAATATTCCCATTTTTAGGCAACGCCAACGGCAGTATGAAGAGATATGCAAATCGTCGTTTGAGTTGTACATTATGAAATTAGAAGTGTAGTCCAAGAATTTTGAGAAAACCAAGAAAAATTTCTTAACTATGCCACTAGATGTGCTTTGACCACACTGTTTGAAAATAATTAGCGCATATGTGGATATATTTTATGCTACACACTACACACTAAAGAAGTGTTCATATGTTGCATTTGAATCGTCTTAATCCATGAGATATATGAAACATGTTTCTCAAATATTGAGAACTATATTACCGGTAAATATTGATAACAGGAAGTAGAAGGCAGGAAACATTGAGAAAGAAACGTCCTAAAATGTTTCGCGTATGTTTTGTTTCTTAGAAACATAACCTGGTAACGATCACGTGATGATGAAACGCCAAAAAATTGATTTTTCAGTAACGATCCCATATGACAACTAACTTTACTTTTCAATTACGAACACTGGAACTCTGGCAGGAAACGAGTGAATATCATATCCTTGTTGAACTCAATGCCCTCTAGAACTTTGAAACGCTATTTTGTCCAAATTATTAATTTTAAACTTACACTACAATGATTTGCAACAGTAGAACGTCTAACAAATTATTATTTCTAGCGAAATGAGAAAATAGGTTTTGATGTTTTATAGTATATTCTGGAAATTATATATAATTTTTATTAATAAAAACATTACAAAGTTATTTAGCATCACAGACGGACTGAAATGGGTATATAGAGGAAAAACACATTCTCTTCGAGCAGGAAAGTCTCCACTCAAGCTTATAACCTTTAAGATGTGTCACTGCGTGCCACTTAAAATATGATTGTCTGTAATACGTGTTCTTGATAAAAGTTTCCGAATCAAATTTTAAGACAAATAATTTTTGTTTTTGTTTCATTTTACTAGAACGAATAATTGGAAAACGATTTGGAAACGTTTATCAGGAGATTATTTAACTTTACTAGTGCACCTGCGACATGTTGCTCGTGTGACGAACCATTTTAAAACAATTAAAGAAAAAACTTTCAATGTATAAATCTTTACTACATGGTTGAGCCCAAGCAACCGAGCGGGAAAACTCGCCGCATTGGGAAAGAAATAGCTCTTCGGAAAACATATTGACAATTCTGAAAAGGACCTTGAGTACTTCCAAAAACACCAGAAGCGTATGTATATGAGACGCACGAAGCGACAGGAGCCAGTTTTGAGCCGACATCGCCAATGCCAGATTCACCGCAAGCTCTCACGTCGACCGTTGTGATGCCATGAGCCAAAAAGGAGCCGCGACACCTCTACAGGGAGAGATTAGCACCGCGGTAAACAGCTGACGCCATCAGAAGTGCCTATCGACTTCCCGTCTTCCACGATCTTCCGTTTCTCCCCACTTACTCTTTAAATTGTGTGAAAATGGAGCCGGTTAGGGTATAAACATAAAATATATATTGCAACGAACATGCTTGTAATCATTTTCCCTCCCGACCACTCAGTACTCTCAGCGTGAAAAATCCTCTGTGTGAATTACGCTCGAAACTAGCATTAGAGGGACGTCACACTCGAGCTGCCTCACCTGTGTCTTCGCAGTGCGGAGCAGCGCGGCGCAGCGGCGGCGGAGGAGGAGGCTGGCTGAAGGCGTGAGAGGCGCGCTGCGCTGTCGAGGGCGGCCGACTGAGGCCTGCCCACGTCCTGGTGGCCGACACCGGAAGGCTTTGCGGCCGCCGTGACGCACGCGCTGGGCTCCATATCGCTGCTCCAAGGCGGACGAACAGCTTACGCTCTGCGCGCACACACACACACTCCGACGCGCCGCTTTCCGCACACGCACGACAACTCCACGCCGGCTATTGTTAGACTTGTTCCGGGTGCGTCAACTACTAAGGTCATTAGTCTAGTAAGGTCATCCCGGGAGGTGGTGGTGTTTGTGTTCCTTTTCCGTTGGAAAGTATGAAATAGGCATCCCATCATTGCTGGGTGAAAGAGTGAGTAATGATTATAGACGCTTCAACTACTTAGGTCATTAGTCTCGTAAGGTCATCCCGGGAGATGGAGGTTCTTGTGTTCCTTCTCCGCTCGCATGTGAGAAACACACTTTCCAAACATGCGAATACCACACCATTTATTGTTGGGTCAAAAAGTGAGTACTGATTCTAGGCGCGTCGACTACTTGGGTCATTAGTCACGTAAGATCATCCCGGGAGATGGATGTGCTTGTGTTCCTTCTCCGCTGGAATGTGAGAAACACCCTTTCCATACATGAACAATACCACACCATTTATTGTTGGGTGAAAGAGTGAGTACTGATTCCGGGTGCGTCAACTACTTGGGTCAGTACTCTCTTAAGGTCATCCCGGGAGATGGTGGTGATGGTGGTGTTAGTGATAGTGGTGATGCTAGCCGGGAGCGGATCCAACCGATCATATGGAGAGAGGCATCGTAGATATTTGTTAAATAATAAACATATTTGTTATTATATTGCATATTATTTGTGTACTGTAGATATACTATACAATATTATTGTTTAAACAATTACATAATTGTAACATGGTGGCGATGGTGTAACAGCGTATA